CCTTGGGTTGCCATAATAATCTTCAAATCGATGGAGGACTTTTTCTGTAAGATTTCTAGTTTATTTAAAAGATTCTTACTTGTAGTGCCCCATACAAGCATACTATAATTCAAACGCGAATAAAAAAGAGCGTAGTATATCTTTCTTTTTTCAGCAAAATTGGTAAAAGTCGATTTATTTTAAATATACACCCAACAGTCTTGCTTAGTTCGAATGCAAGACTATCAACATCGGTATTCCAGGACAAATTTTCTTGCAACCACACTCCGAGAAATTTTTTTGACTTAACCTGCTCCAGCCTTTCGTTTTTGAAAAAGATGTTAATGTCGTCCTTGTAGGTCTTGTTGATAGGCTGCAGTACAATGTACTTACTTTCAGATATATTAAGCATGAGCTTATGTTGATGAAGCCATTTTTCTAATTTGAGTAAGTAATCATTTACCTCAGCTTCAAGGTGCATGAGTATTCTACCTGTTGAAAATATGTTAGTGTAATCAGCGTATATAATTAATTTTGGGGATCATGGAATGTCACACAGATTATTATATAAACTATAAATAGAAACGGTACCCCATTTTTTACAGTTTTCATTGGGGAAACATTGTTACCCACCTTTACATATTAATATCTTTTGGTAAGAGAACTTTTTATTAGTTTAGCTGCCACGCCGCTTACACCATAATCATGCAACTTGGATATTAGAACATCACGTTTGACTGAGTCAAAGGCCTTCTTCAAATCAATGAAAAGACCTATGGTGTACATTCTGTTTTCCATTTTTTCAATATCTCCTCGTTCGTACGTAATAGCGCTGACTCCATAGACTTAACCCTTTTGAAACCCACACTGTGCTTTATTGATTATCAGATGATTAGTGAAAAAGCATTCAAGTCTGAAGTGTATCATTCCTTCAAAAACTTTTGAGGGTATCGGTAGAACTGATATCTGGCAGTAGTTCGATAATACATTTTTGGCACCCCCTTTATGAATAGGACAAATGCGGGCTATTTTTAGTTCTGAAGGAAAAATTCCGGTTTCTATCATAGTGTTCATGATGTATGAAAGAGGGTATGAAATTAGTGATGCTACATATTTTATCGGGCTGGCTGCTATTTCGTCAGCACCTGCAACAACAGTGTCACGTATTTCACAGATTAATTTTTCAACTTCACAAGGTGTAACCAGAGTAAACAAGAGTGAGTGCAATAGACGCTTTCTATCTGCTACAGGCGAATCTGTTGCACCACAAGATGAATCTGTGTAGTCGCCAGCATTAACCAAATATTCATTCATGGCTGATAGTGCTTAAACATCTGCCTTATCGTCTGCAATATCAGTGATATCAACGTGGCTTTTTTTATTACGTTCAGTTAAATTATTTACTTCATTCCACATTTTCCTGGGATTATCTAAGATATTTTCAAATGTGTATTGATAATAAGGTATCCTGGCTCACATTTAGCTTATTGCGAAACTTTTTGTAGCCTTCAAGAAGTGATACATAACGAGATTTTATAAACGTGTGATAAATTTTTTTTTGTGTGTATTCGGTCATACAGTGCGTTGTTAATCTACGGCTTGCATATCTTCTTTTTTAAGGGGTTTTTCGTTAAAGGAAAGGCGTGGTGATATATGCTTTTCAGTCGCTAAAGAAAAGGATAGAAATCCTGGTTTGTATCCCTTTCTGTGCCCACTATGTTCCAGTTCGTCGAAGCAACTTCAGCTCGGAATCGGTTTAGTGCACTATTGTTTATTTTGCGGTACTGTTCCACGATCTGCTTTTTATTTTGTGTTGATAATAATAAAAGAGAAAATATAGGTAGGTGGTAACTTACATCGTATGACAATAACCCTAAGATATATTTTCTGCTTGAAGGATTTGTGACACTTATATCAAGCAGTGTCGAAGACTTTTCCGATATAAGACTAGGCCTTCTTATCGTGTTTGCGCATGCGTATGAATTCAAAACCAACTGCAGTTGTTTAGAGCTGGGAGAATCGCCTAGCACGTTAACGTTGACACCACCGATAATTAAAAAGGCATGCACATTGTTTGTAGCTTTTGTAAGTGAGTATCAGTGTAGTCAAGAAATTCTCGCTTTTTACCAGCTGGTGGCCGATAAACCACGACAACAATTGCGTTATTAACCTTGACTACAAGGCATTCAATACACGGTGAAATGTGGGAGAGATCATCAATTATTTCATGTTTCAGTTGTTCTTGACGTATACAGCGATGCCACCGCCTCGACCGGAATGACATACCAAACCACTTTAAGTATAACCAGCAAATATTGGCGGGGCATCATTTGGTGTTAACCAAGTTTCGTAAAATTTTAGAGCGTCAAACTTTATGCTATCTGTAGGTATCTTTTTAACCTTATTATGCTCGATAACACATGTTTGTGCTTTCTTATGGCTATTACGACATCACCACCCATTCTTTCCCACGCTGTCTTCATGCAAGATACCTCAAAAATTTGAAATTTGTAATTCACTGTTAACTTTGTGGGTTAACCATGTTTCAGTTCCAATTATAACGCCTGTACTACATGCATGAATAAACGAAGCGAGACAATCTTACTGTTAAGAATGCTACAAAAACTGGCAGAAATTATAGAAACATTAGGTGCCCTGATGTATTTTGGTTCAAAGCGACTGCCTCAAACACGATTTTTTCGTTGGGGCCCTACTTAATTAAAGGTCCAATCACACAGCATAAGCTCAACTCTCACTTTTCCATGAACAAGGTTCAGCCACGCATGACTGCATGTGAGCTGAAACCCTCTTGTTAACGCTAGTCACCAAATGTCTGCCGAAGCCCCCCTCCCCCCCATGGGTCTTTCTTCCGGTAGCTAATTCGTCTAATGTATTCCTTGTGGCATTTCCATTTGCGTTTCCTCCCTGCTTTCCAACAAATATTCATTGCATTCGTGCCCCGCCTGCCACCGTAGGTCAACAAAAAATGTGGAGCTCACTCATGAAATATATATATTGCCCTTAGGACACACTGGAGTATAACTCAGCCGCATTCACTCAGACTTATGAATCACGGTTCTACCCGAGTCTAACTGACGAGTACTTTCGTGTACAATTGGGTTTTCAAACACGTTGCCTGTGCTTTTAAACACTAACATCTAGCACAATCGGTGCTCCAGTTGGCACCTTTTGATTTTGCACTTTAAAATATGAGATGTCAGAGGTTGCAATCAAGTAGGGACATTTATATTAAAAGAGATAAGTGAAATTATATAATTTTTCAGAAATTCTGCGTTACAAGTTTCCAATGTGGGGGACATCATGGCACTACCCCTCTCCTCTGATCAATAAATATTGAGCTCGCATAAGAACACTGGTGCTTTGAAGTATGTGCAAGTCTACGCGAGTATATAACGCAAGGTGATGTAAGCCTCAAGTTAAGGAAATAGAACTATGAGTTAAACTGCATGAGAAACGCAGAATGCAAGTGCGTGTCATATTTTTTTTTATGTTCTTTGTGCTGTTTAACAAATAACGAATACCAACTCACCCAACAGTCTCTTCTTTCAAGTACATAGAACCATAGATCGGCAAAAAAGCCCCCTCCAGCACAGACTCAAAGAAATTTCCCTCAACCAACTAACCAATATATTACCAGACTCGCAGCTCAATCTGTGTGAGTCGGCTCATGAGTGAGTTTGCCGACCTGCCATCTTGTTTGGAATCTGAGCAGCCCAACACTGTTCTTTGCAGTATCAGAGAAAGAAACTTGTATAAAAATTGTTTAAAAAACTTATTTACCATTTCAGAATGGAAACAATCGAGTTGCTTCTATGGCTACAACTCAAAAGAAACGCAGCTAAGGACATATTGATCACATGTCGTTGAACACGATTCCACCCTTGGTAAGCTTTGGTGATGGTATTTTATGGAGCAAGGACCAGTGGCGGCCAAAGATGGTGAAGGATGCCACCAATGACAGTGTGAAGTGGCTGTATAGGGCCTAAAATTTTTTGCACTAAAGGCACATAAAATATATAAATCATGAGAGCGATATGTACGAGTAGTACTCGCGTTTTCAAAATATACTGGGGGGTAGCTTCACAAACGGCCCCGAGGCCCATTTTGTCTTCCCCAGTTTGGAATTGTGGACGGGCACTGGTATTTGCCATGATTTCAGACAGATGGCATAGGCTATAATACCACTTGACTGACTCAACACGTCATCGCACTTTCGGCATCTCACCACTTCTCGAGCTGTGCCACTGCGAACAAGCTTGCCATGCACACGCTTGTTAAACGAAAGGTGCGGTGGCAAGTCGACGCCGGTTCGTGGACGACCGCAGCACGGTAAGGCTGAGACTGCAGTAACCGTACCACAGCCCAGAACGTGCGCGCTGGGAAAATTTCTCAATGAAATCTTGGACGCGCATCAGGTCTAAACTGCATTACTCTAGGACGCGGAGAAGCTCTCCGAGGGCAGTAACTACAGAAGCCAATTGCTTGGTGGACTCCAAGCATCAATTACGCCGGTGCCCATCCAATCGCCGACTGCGTTCACCTGACAAGTATACAACCAGGATGCATCCCATTGCGCTCACAAACGAGGTAGCGAAAGCACCCGCGATTCAGCAGACACTTCGCGACGACGATCATCAGGTGCTCGCATCGCACGAGAAGATATGTGAGCAGAGGACATTCGTAGCACCAGCTGAAGCACAGTAATGATGCGCACATAAAAAAAGTCACCTGTCAGACCAATCGTAGCTGATATCTGTACGCCCACATCGGTCAAAAGTATTCTCGCAAGCGCAGTCGCTTAGTCAAACACGTCCAAAACAAAACAGGGCAGCAGACGCCGCCTGGCACAGAGACATGACGCAGAGACACGCTTACCTGGTAAGGTCAACATTCACGCTAAGCAGTATGTTAACTATCTGCACTTTCACATGCTTTGAAACACTCGTTGAGACTTTGGACAACGCGTAAAATATCAGAGAATACGTGAAAAGAGAACTTACCGCGACTGGAATTGCATTGCTGCCACTCTAGGGTGGCTAGAATGAGTAGGTGTGAAAAGCGGCCGCTGAAACCGTCCCCAAAGCGCGCCGATGCCACTTGGAGCGCTGCACGCAGAGGCGCACCAGCTGAAGCACAGTAGTGGGGGGGCGCCCGGTTAGTTGTTAAAGAGCTAGAGCCGAACACGAAGGGGGCCTAGTGAGAGGCTACTAGCGAAATTTAACAAGTGTGCGGTGTAGGCGGCAGCTTCAAACAGTTGTTGAGGTATGAGAGTTAACGGAGGCTGCTCGATAGCGGGATTAGGGTTGAACGTAGGCCTGTCGGGCACTCGGTCCGATGGTCGGAGTGTGGCAGCTTGGGCTAGTTGGTATGACATGACGATAGTTATAGCGCGAGAACAAAACGACGACACGAAAGACACGAGCGCTAACTTCCAACTGAGTTTATTGCGCAGAGCACGAAAATATATAGAGGAGACAGTGACCATGTGATAAAAACCATATGGCACAAGAGCAGAACATGAGTAAGAAAACCAAAAACAAACAACACAAACACAAAGGCACTGAAAAACGGCAAAGAAAAAACCTAGAAGAAAACGAAACAGAAAGGTAAAGATAAAATAACTACCTGCCCGCACCGAATCCTTCGAGAAGGAACCTGCGTTCCTTCTCGGACAAAGCCACGGAGGGCTTGCTAATACAAGGCACCTGTTCGCGTGCCATCTGCGCAGCCTCGACAATGACCCGGGTGCTTACATCTCTGTTTGTACAACGTCGCTGTGTCCTCGAAGAGGGGAACACAATTGCACTCAGTGCAGTGCTGGGCAAGAAAACCATCTTTCCCGTTTCTAACATTGTTCGCGTGCTCTCGCGAAAGACACGAGTTAGTAGCGCTCGTGTCTTTCGTGTCCTTCTTGTCTCTGTGTCGTCGTTTTGTTCTCGCGCTATAACTATCGTCATGCCGATGGTCGGGCGTTCGATGGCTAAGGAGGCTAGGAAAATCATGAGCGAGAGTGAGCTGGTGCAGTACGAAGAATGCAAGGGCTGGTGCTACTTAGATGAGACAGCATTCACGAGTTTGGCCGACGCGCAGAAGGCGAGTTTCGTGTGCAGGCTGTGCGATGCACTGAAGGCGGCCGTGCAGCGCATGGAGGCTAGCATCAAGGGGCTTCAGGGGGAGCTTAGGGCGGAACAGGAACAGAGGATAGAACTCCAAAAACAGCTCGGAGCGTCGCGTGAGCGGGAGGAGGCTACCGCCAGCCTATTAGAGCAAATGAAGGGCAACGTTCGAAAAGAACGGGAAGGGCGGACCGAGCTAGAGCAGCGGGTAAAGGAGCTAATGGCGATTTGCCCCGGCCCCGAGTGGTGTGAGACGAAAGGCGTGGGTAGCGGAGAAGGCGACAGACGGGAAGGAACCGGCGAGTAGGGAAGTCAGCGGGCCACAGTGTCTGGCCACAGCACGGAGGCTCCGAGAACATACAGCTCGGTGGCGCAGCAGTGATCAAGCAGGGCAGAAACACAGGACAGACGGCAGAGAGAGAAACAAGTGAAGCAGGCAGGGGCGCGCGCCATCACAAACAGGAAGCCAGCGATTGGAGCGTAGAAGGGTCCTAGTGGTGGGGGACTCTAACGTGACCAGGGTTAGGGATGGCGTCTTCAAGACAGTGAAGGAAGATGGAAGAGTGAGGGGGGAGGCCCAGTTAAGGAAGGGCATGGTGGATGCACTGGCCAAAGCTCTAGAGGTTGTAGAGGACAGCACGGCGGGCGAAAATCTTGTCATTATTCATGCTGGGCTCAATGATGTGTTGAAGGGCAAGGATCAGAACCTTCAGAGAAAGTTAGAGGATGGGATGCGTAAGCTCCGAGAAGCCTCTGGGAGTGTGCATGTGACCATATGCACAGTCCCAGAGGTCTGGCGGCAGCCTCGTGGGATTGAAAGGAGGGTAGTGAAGGCCAATTGTGTGATCAAGGGTTTGAGCCGGCAACTCGGATACAAGATTTCTTAGAGAGTTTAGATAGTTCCGAATTTCCCAGCTGCCTTTCTGTCCTTTTTATGTACTTCTGCCAGCCACTGAGCACCCTTTCTTCTAATCTTATCATTGATCAGGAGGAATGCTTCCCTTCTAGAGCTTAGAAAGATTTCCCATTTTCTTTACACATCATCTGTCGGTTCACCCCGTTGCTTAGCATGTCTGTGTTCCCTAGAGGCTTCATGACGTTTTGCTATGGCTCTCTTAACTTCCTCATCCCACCAACTTTTGGGTTTGTGTCTTCTTTTCCGGGGTGACTTCTCACGCGCCTTAGCAAGCTCTAGGCCCGCGCCGCTGCCATCAGCACCCCTTGGGGCATCGGCGCGCCAAGTGACCCTCTCCGACAAGCGAAAAGTGCCCCGCTCATCACACCTCCCAATTCTCGCCACCGTAACCACACTCTCGTAAGCGCAGCTGCGTGCTTATTGGATTAGATTGGATTGATGTGACTGTACTTTTTAGATGATGATAATGCTGATGATTTGCTGCTGTTTTTTTTTTTAACGGGCGGGTGTACTTACACTATGTAAAAGGCAGCGTCTTCTGCGCCGCGCGGTGCAGCAGCCAGCCCCACACAGAAGTGGCTTCTGCGCCGCACGAAAGTGACGTCACTTTAAAAAATATTACTAAAGCTAGTTTAAAGTGTAAATTATTTGTGTGTAATGCGTTAAACCTACAAAAATTTTACTAGACAGGTGTTTAACGAGTCAATTAGCCTAGTTTTGTTATTCAAATACATATTACAAGTATATTAAATACAGGAGGCGCCATGGGGGCTGCGGCTGCGAAAGGTAAACACTGCGAGATGGTAGCCGCCTGCGATGTGTTAGGTGGTGAAAACTCCGATGAAATCGTGGCCATGGCCTTGGCCACTCCCAAGGAGGACTGGAGTGTCGTCGCTGCTTCATGTGATTGCTGGATGCTTAGTTGCACCTGCTGGTTTGAGCTAGCGCGGCCGTCCACCGCGCCGCAGCTTCATCGAAGTGTGAGCGCCATAAAGTTTCTCAGTATGATGTGCGGATTACAGTTGTTGGACGTACTGCATTTTCTAGATTGCAATGCCAAGCGTGGTGTTGTCAAAGGCGAAAGTGTTCTTTCATTTTATTAATAGGACTGGTATCCAGAACTCAAAGAACTGTGCCATGTACAGTCCAAACCGCTGCCAATTCTGGGCACCGAACAACAAGAGGAAATACGCCAGCGACTGATTGCGACAGCACACCAGAGTGCATTGGCGCTGCATCAGCGTGGCAGAATGCACCATATTGAAAGCAATCAAGTTTGCGAGTGTGCCACTATTCAGGAGCAAATTTTAATCAAGCACATCTTGAAGAATGAAATGGAACAATACAGTGAACTAATGTTCCCTGACGTGGCATTCAGTGATGCAACAGCAATGAGAATTTATAAGTTTTCCAAAAATGACCTTGCGAAAAATGAGCTTCAATTCTACAGCACACACATTGAACTCACTGAAGAGGAGGCACTCCTAATGTGCACTGAGACAAGGCATCAGGACAACACAAAGTGGCGAAGAGCTTGAAAAGTGAGGATAACAGGGAGCATATGTCACGCTTATTTTACATACATTCCAAAAGATCCAACATCTTGGGAAAGCAAGGTGTCCAAAATGCTCTCCGAAAGCTTCTGGGGAAATAACACTACTCGTTTTGGTAAACACTGCGAATAATTAGCTACTGAGAAATACAGTTGCATAACCAGAAACGACGTTTCAAAGATCGGTTTCGTTGTTCACCCCAAGGTTCCATGGCTTGGATACAGCCCAGATGGTGTTGTTTTCAAGAATTCCAACCCTGCAATTTTGTTGGAAGTCAAGAGCCCTGTACTGGGAAAAACTCCAACTGTTGCCCAACTTGCTACGCAAAAGAAGCTTGATTGATTGATTGATTTGTGGGGTTTAACGTCCCAAAACCACCATTTGATTATGAGAGACGCCGTAGTGGAGGGCTCCGGAAATTTCGACCACCTGGGGTTCTTTAACGTGCGCCCAAATCTGAGCACACGGGCCTACAACATTTCCGCCTCCATTGGAAATGCAGCCGCCGCAGCCGGGAATCGAACCCGCGACCTGCGGGTCAGTAGCCGAGTACCTTAGCCACTAGACGACCGCGGCAGGGCGCAAAAGAAGCTTGCCTACAGCAAAAACATCACTGTGAACCCTAGGCATGCATACTTCTCCCTGGTGCAGCTTGGCATGTTTCTTTTGAACTTGGCTGTTACACACTTCGTAGTGTATTCAGAACTGGAGTCAATGATATTAACTGTGCATAGAAATGATGACCACATCGACAAACTTGTCCGCAAGCTGCAATTTGTGTATTTCAAGCATGTTTTGCCGAAACTTGCTGAGCATGCCTAAGGATGAGCAGGCTATGCATTTCTGTTCAGTAACATTTGGCCTCGTTTACCTGCTCTGCCATGTTAAGTTCTTAAGGACTGAGGGTAGGGTAAATTTAATAAAATCAGATTTAGATTTTTTGGTTGTTTGTGATGATAGAGCTTTCCTTAACAATATTCAATTCCCCACACATTCTTGTGTGTTTTGATTAAGCTGAACGACCTGGCTTTTGAAGACCAACTGACGAGTAGCCAAGTCCCTTTTTTTCTCGGAGCAAGCACAACCTGGGGTTCCTCGCTCAAGTGAATATAAGGGTACTTGCTTGAGCAAGTTAGTATCTATTCATTGTTACGTTATTGCGCACCACTTAGATGATGAAGACTTTTGTAGGACCACTGTGATACCATACTTTTACAGTGTTTCCCATGGCCTGAAAAAGATTGGGAGCCATGTCTGAGTGCAAGCGGTTCTTCTGGCACCCCGTAAGTTCTCATCACTTTGCAGGGTAACAAAGAAAAATGTGATGGGAACAAATGCTTGCACAACTAACCACACGAACAAGTTTCTGGATTGTGTCCAAAAAGTGGTGATGTGATACTGCTCTCGCGCGGAAAGAATTACGTAGGCCAGAGGAGAAGATGCCTTAATGAATGACTCCGGGAGCAGAACAACACTGTGCACAAATCTGTAC